AACTTAGATACATGCAAGTCATGTTTAGAGCACCAACGGACTCAAGTGAAACTGCATTTGGATGATAGAGGAAAGGGGATTGGGGACAAATGAAATACTTAGTTTTCTTTGGTTCCCACTTTGTACTCTGTTGGCGACGACTGACCCCCCCCCCCCCCCCTTCCCTTTCTCCGATCAATCACTTATTTGCTTTGACAAGAGAATAAGCGTTGGGAAGCGAAACATTCAATGAATGTGGCTTTCAGCTGGGCTACTAATTAGTGTAGCACTTGTTTCTGCTCAAGGTTGGTTTGTTAGAGGAATACAAGTACCACTTACAGATGCATTAAAATTTTAAAACCCACTGGAAAATTGACCCATATATTGCTTGGGGCTATAAGAATAACGATACCTATTTCTGGTCAATGAAAGTCGAGCCGACAGTAAATTATCAAATTAAACATTTTGATTTATTATCCTTTTGAACTGCGACACAAATTGTCGGTCACATAAGACTGCTGTTGCGCTAAAACAATCTCCAGCTAATTACTTTCCGCCCAACTTACCTCCTCGACTGTATTTTTTTCGGTATGTACAACAGACAGTAAAAAATTCTTCAGAGTTCTATGATGTGTTTCGTGTGCGAAATTTATTTACAAACACAATGAAGCTTGTTTCTTTGGCATCTTTCGGTGTGTACCTGAAAAAGGAGTATTTGCATTTGCGTCCTTTCTATTTCAAAACTAACACAGCATCACTGTTATATTTAACTGGAAGTATTCTCGTTTAGCGAAGTCAGTAGGCCAAAAGCACACTGTGCGCTGTGTGGCGAAAATGAATGAGTCCTCTTCGGTTGGCCTTCAAAACAGTTGTCATCATGTATTTCGTCATGAACGTCTGCAGTATCATTTTTCCGATGTAACTTATGGTTTTCTCATCGCATCAGCTGTTGTCAGCTTCGTCGCCTGTCCGTTTACCTGCTTTTTGAACGTGATGGTTATTTTGGCCGTGAAAACGAAACGACGTCTTCAAACTCACTCCAACATTTTGTTGGCATCTTTAGCGCTTACCGATCTAATGGCTGGGTTGGTTGTTCAACCTCTGCATGGAGCTATGACAATTTTTCTGTTGCAGAGAAAAAGACTCCACGAACTTTGCGGAGTAAATTTGGCTTTTACCATCACCTTTATCGTAGTTTCGCAAGCTGCATTTAGCCACTTAGTTTTGATAAGCGGAGAACGATACCTCACAATCAAATACTCTTTCGCACACAATGAAATGCTCACTACGGCACGTGTTATAATTTTTTAGTGCCAGCGCCTGGATCCCAGGCTTTCTTGTATTCCTTTTTTTGTTTACGGCGATGATGATCATTCCAGTCGTAGTTTTAAAAGTAACATTGTTGAGTTCAATCATCTACCTTCAGATCCTCGTTTATAAGGAAGCCAGACGCCACGAGAAGCGAATTCTTTCCCTTCAAGTTTCTCAAGAAGCCATGATAGCTAGATTCAAAAAAGAAAGGAAAGCCTTAAAGTCAACCACTTTGATAATAGTGACGACTTTGCTATTTTTCATTCTCCCATTTGGTCTTATATCCGTCACGTCGTTTCTATACTGGGAAAAGTTTTCGGACAGTGAGAAAACCACATTTCCTCATTTTGTGTTGGGGTTAGCTAATATGGGTTCTGCCATCAACCCAATTATATACACATGTCGCAACAGACATTTTCTAGCGGCGTTCATTGAATTGCTGTCGAAAAAAGGTTTCCAAGAAGCCGAAGAAATGGCGAGGAATCTGTGCAGCGGATCAAGACGAAGTGTAGTGAGACCTGAAACCCGACAAGAAGGAAAGTAATGGAACAAAACTTCAGTCAGTTCAAGCTGCCAGCACTAGTCTGCTACAAGAATACCATATGTAGCGCTGAAATCAGCATCACCACCCACATGGAACGAAACATTGGCAACCCATCGTTTGAAGCTACAGGTAGCCCAAGCT